CTGGTGGCTTCCCTTGGGTGGGCTCTGAAGATGGAGTTCCAACAAGGGCAGCATTGCACCACTGGGCTTGAGCTGGCACAGGGGGATGGGAGCCCAGAAGTTACAGGTCTAAACCCAATGACCCTGGGCCAGTGAATCAGAGTAAGGCTTCAGGGTCAAGACTGCATGAGTAGAAATACTCCATTACTTGCCAGCGATGTGACCTTGAGCTAGTCACTTTACCTTTCTCTACCTCACTTTTATAATCTGTAAAATGGAGATAATAATATAATCCATCTCCTGAGGTCATGAGGTAGGTCAAATGAGATGATGTATATAACATACAGTGCCAAGCACACAGCAAGCACTCAAGCAGTAGGAGTCTTTAGAAGGAAGATACGTTTTTGGTAGAAATCTCTGGAGTGTGGCCCTGGACATTCTCTCTCTCTCCTCTGGTTATGTTGGCAGTTTCAGCCAAAATTCATTTAGGTAAATGAGTAGATGTTTTACTGCCTATTTGCTATTCAAAATTTTGAAAGGAAAACTTAACGTTACCCTTTCTCTCAAACCTAGATCCCAGTGTTGATCAGATGTAGTAAGTTTTCTTCAAGTTTTTAGAAACTGGTTTCTACCTCAAGCTCCTACCTAAAGACTACCCTGTGTGGCCACAGTGGGATGCCAGATGGGGCAAATGGAACGTAACTAGTCCCTACTGAGCAGTCTCAGATGGGAGCAGGGGCTCTCCAGGTCATCTGGGCCACCTCTTTGCCTTTGGGACCACAGATGCATCCCCTACATTAGACTGCATGCAGGAGAGGGGGAGTACAGGAATTCATTGCAGAGAAGAGGGGCCTTAAGTTGAGCATTTTGATTTGTAAACACATTCGTTGAAGTGCTTGGCATGTATCACATCACACCTTAAGAATGAAAGAGAAAACATATTCTGAATCTTAGGGAGTGGTAGCTAAGATTTGTCCTCCCTTGCAGATTGCCCCAGGCTCCTATGAGTCTACTTTTAGTTGCCCAAATTAAATTAGCAAGTAATTAAATCACGCAAGCAAAAGTTGCTTTCACGTGATTAGAAGACCCTTAAAGCTATCCAGTTTGACTTTGGAGGGAAGGGAGCTTCTGTTTCCCTCTTTTCCTGGTTCATCCTTCCTCTCCATAATGGGATATTGGGGTCCATGTGTTGTTGAGATTGTGAAAAACTTTGAATCACTAAGAAGTCCAAGCTTGAGGAGTGTAAGTCGGTTTCCCGGATGCACTTCCCAAGGATCTGTATAAAAAGTGAATCTGCTCCCCCTAGGGGAATTGGGATCAGCTCCAGTATCATGGGAGGGGTGGCCTGGGGCTCTTCTTGTCCTGAACCAAAAACCATTTCCTGTCCTCCTGGTTGCACCCGCAGTCTGCTGAGGCAGGAGCACGGAGCAGGAACCGGGAAGTGCTGGACCTCTCCCGGGGCAGCAGGATGGGCCGCGCTGGTCACGTCTCCCTGGACAAAGCTGAAATAAATCACAGAACAGCCCCTGCTTAAGATCTGATGAAATTCTCCATTTCCGCTCCAAATTGAATTCCTCCCGAAGGCTTGGAGCAGCTCTTGAGAGTAATGAAGGCGCTCCTTCCTCCTCTGCGAGAAGCATGTTTTAAATTAACAGACACAGCCTTCTAATCTGGGTGGGGAGGTAGCTTTTAGGAACAGTCTTGAGAAGCTGTTTTCAGGCCAGAAATGATATTTTTAATCTCGAGGGGCAAAGGCAGCAGACATCCAACATGACGTGGCCTCCTCTGGAGGGAGCAGCCCCGCTGGTGGTCTCCTGGGAGAGAATGAGAACACGTGTCCCGCTGTCGCTCTGTGCCGCCCCCCTGCTCTGCCCCACTGTTCTCCTCAACCACTTATAGCGAAAGGGAATTTATGATGAAGAATACGGACCAGGGGGCTGGTGCTTTCTGAGAGTTGAAAGTATTACTTTCCCGTCCATCTCTTACTTGGGAAAAGTGATAAACTCTGTGAATTTAAAAAGAAAAAACAAAAAACTGTTTTTAGGATGAAGATATCATTGAAGTGATTATCTTCCATCCTCTGCAATGATGAATCGACAATTTGGCATTTGTAGAGGCAGCTGACACAGGCCCTTTCAGGGGAAAACAAGAAAACCTGTTTTCCAATGGGCCTTGTCAGAGTGAAGACGGATGACCTGCTGGCTGATTGGGACCATGAATAAGGCTCTGAGAACGCGGGAATGTGTGAGGAACCCAGGGGTGAAACTTATAAATCAAGGTTAAGGTAGAAGTAGAAAATTCTAAACATCCATTCTATCTTGAAGGTGGGCAGGAAGTAGATTATCTGTTGGTAAAGGAGTATTTAATATTACTCCTTGAAGTGAGCTTAAGAGCATTATACTTTTCCCCACTCACTGTTGAAAAACAGCAGTGTAAAAAATCCTACTTGACAGGAGAAATTCTGACTTTTAGGGTCGAAAGGAGAGGAGGAAATTCTCCTTAAAAGTAAATTCTATCGGTTCTTTTATGTCAGAATTTTAACAACTCTCAAGAAAGGTTATCAAAACCTGACTCCATGTTTTTCATTTAGTTTTAAGAAGGAAGCCATTTCCTTCGTAGGGAAATACGACCCCAGAGTAGCCCACAGGTAAAACCCAACCTCAGAGGGCGGACTCCACTGGAGAAGGATTTAGGGTCTGGTTCTCAACTGGAAAATTGCTTTTCAGGGAGAAGGTCATGTTTTCCACTGATAATAGGGTCCCTTATATCAAGTGAAACGCCCTTCCTTCCGACCCAGGAGGACATTTAAGCTTTGATCTTTCTCAGAGGACAGTAGGAAGTACATTTATTCCCGGCTAGGAAGAAGGGACTGGGGATGGGTAGTGGGAGTGTAGGATTCCAGCAATGCCGGTCCCTCCTGAGCCCAGCCAAAATTCACTGGGGCCTGGCCTGGTGGCGTCCTGGCAGGTGGGGAAGAAGTTCTGGTGGAGACAACAAAGGCCGTTGGAGGGAAGAGATTAAAGGGCAGGAAAATGCACAGCCACCCCCTGCCCCCCACGCAGCTGCTTTCGTGCATTCCTTCAGGCTCTCTAGACTTTGATATTTGCATAAATGGGCCTTGGCTAGGCTTCCACACTGGGATGGAACAGCAAGCGGTCACCGTGGACAAGGCAGGCTTTTTCTTCGTGACCAGTCTGGCTGTGATTTCAGTCATCAGCTTGTGTAACCTCCCTGGGTTGAGCGGACGGGTCAGCCGTCCCGTTCCTGTCGCTGTGTGCACACCGTCTGTGTCTCTGGCCCGCAGACCCTTCCGACGCAGGCGCGTCTTGGAGCCTGTTTACAAGGCCTGCAGTTACTTCTGTTTTGTTTTAGCCAAAAGGGTGAAGTGCTGCCAGCAGTATGTCTGGAATGTTATTTACTTGGTACATTTCTGTGGCTTTTCTTTGTAGCGCTACACATGCCAGAGCAAGGGGTCATTGACTTGAAAATGCCAGGTTTCGCAGTTTGTCTTCTCCACGGGGCTTTACTTTCTCAGTAAGAGGGTTAGCTCCTGTGCTTCTCCGTTCCTTCCTCCCCGCCTTCCTCTCTTCCTTCCTTCCATCCGTCCTTCCTCCTGTCCTCCCCTCTTTCCTGCCTCCTTTTTTTGTTTTGAGCGCTCTGAGCTACTGTTGGCGCCTGCCCCCCCCCCCCGCAAGCACCCCCGTGTCCTAAATGCCCCAAGTGCACTTTTAATTCCTGGGGTTTCTGGTGGACTCTGCCGAGGGCCTGGCAGACGCTTTTCATTTGCGTGCCTGCCCTGTTATTATTTCACATGAAAGCTGTCTTATTTTGGCACACGTGGCTCCCGCGATTTCAGTTGAGTTCTCTGGGCTGAATGGGCGATGTTGTGCAAGGGAAGTACAGGTGGGGCTTTCTCTCCTGGTGGCCGTGGGGGCGGAGGACAGATCTGCGCGCGGCCCTGGCTTGTGCTGAGCCCACGCGAGAGTGAACAAATGGCTTCTGAAGGAAGGAACCAGTGTGGACGATTTCTTAATCTGGGAGCTTTCACGACTGTTCGCGTTCAGTTGATGGAGGAGAGGGTTTGGGGGTTTTTTGTTTTTGTTTTTTAAGAGCAAATTCTTCATTTAATAAAACTAAACAAGTCCTGGATCAATGAGCAATGTGGAAGGGGGACGCATGGGAGGTTTGCTCTCCGCCTCTTGTTTTCAGCCTCCCTTTCTCCCACTTCTTCTAAGCAATTCTAATCACGGTATTTGGGGCTTTAAAACAAGGTATGGAAAATGAGATTAGATAAATCTCCCCAGCTGGTGCCAGCCCTGGGGCCGTTTGCACACCTGGGTGGTTACCTCCACCCCACCCCCTCCCCCGCCCCCTGCCCAATTTTGTTATGTCATGTGAGTGTATAAGCATCTACAGGGAGGAGATGAGACCTTTGAAAAGCTTTGTCTTACGGAGACTCGGCCTTTCTCTGAGTCTCTGGGAAACCTCGCCCATCCACGACACCTGTTAGTGTGTTCACTCCGTAGCCAGCCCCAGACTGCAATGGAAAATTTTGGTCCCATTCTTTTTGGCTTTTCCTGTCCTTCTGCATGACTTCTCAATTTGTGTGTAAGCTGCTCGGATTTTTGGCTGAAGGGGCTTCTTTGATCACTCTCTTGACAGCATGGGCTTCACATTCTCACACCTGCTCTTCTTTTACAGTCCAGATTTCAGAGTAAATGCTTCCATTGCCTTGTCGTTTCTTCGGTATAAAACTTTGGTGCAGGTTACTCATTACAGGTAATAGCCGTTGGATGACAGAGACAACTGCTTGGCACAAACGGCCACCTGAACCACTGCCAGAAACGTAAACTGCCACTTTATTTATTTCTGAAAGCATCTAAGCTGCAAGCCTATCGGTCATGATCTAGCATGCACATGATAATAACAGGCTCGCCAGGCTAAGAAAGCCGCCCCATGGGGCAGCCGCGAGGGCAGGCTCTAACAAGACTCCCGTGTGTTTTCTCCCCCATTATCCACAGCCCACACATCATCTTCCTCTCTCAGAGCGTCTTGACAGGAGCGAGCCATCTCTGTGGGACCCGGCTCTGCCATGAAATCGCTCACGCCTGGTTTGGCCTAGCCATCGGGGCCCGGGACTGGACGGAGGAGTGGCTGAGTGAAGGGTTTGCCACTCACTTGGAAGACGTGTTCTGGGCTGAAGCGCAGCAGGTAGGTTTACAGTGACCCTAAGCATTTCCCGACCCGCCGTCAGATTCTATTCATCTGTTCATTCCACAGATCCGGAGAGGGCTTCTTGCATGCTAGGACTGTGCTGGATGCTGGGGAGAGGGGAGAGGCCCTGAGCCCCGGGGGGTTCTCCCTGTGGGGATAGGAGAGAGGACAGTGAAGCAGACAAACACATCCCTACCATGTCAGGTGGTGAGCACTGTGAAGGCAGGGGAGGCCAGAGAGTGGCAGGGAAGCTCAGTTTTAGAAGGCACCATGAGAAGGCCTCTCTGATGGTGGACATTTGGGCAAAGACTAGAAGAGAAGGTCATGCCGTGGCATGCTCAAGCATTCCCCTGTGGTTATGGTTGTGGTGACACTGACTTGTGTTTGGTTTGGGTTGGTTTTTTTTTTTTTCTAATAAGATGAAAATTTACATCAGGAGGCATAATCTCAGATGTCTGCTGGCAAGTAATGAATAAAGCGGTTGGTGTCGTAGGTTAGGGTGTGCTGAGGGCTAAGACAAGCTGCCAACCTCCCCTCAGCTCAGACCAAGCATGGCGGGGTGGGCGGGAGGGCTCAGTGGAGCCTGGACTCCTGGTAGTTTAAAAGGAAGTTCTAAATCTGGATTTTTATATGAAATTTAGTAATTTAAAAAAAATCCTATGCCAACTAAACATACCCAGAGGTATGGGCAGCACGCTCCCAGCTTACAACCTCTACTTTAAAGCACTGACTGCCGGTTCTAATGAGGATATGGCAGCTAAACTGCCTCCTGCTTATTTTTCATCCCCTAATATTCGGTCACTCTTTTCCCTGCCCTCCCCATCCCTTACACACTGGACTAGTTAACATTTTCTGAAATCTTCAAGTTTGTGCATTCCTATATGCTTTTATTCGAGCTCCTTCTGCCTGTTGAAATCCTGTTTATTTTTCACTAACCAGCTCAAGGTCACCTTCTCTGGATAGCCCAGACTGATCATTCCACTCACAGTACTTACTCTTCTAGAAGCTTTGAACTCCCACAGTATTTGGTACTTACCTCTTTTTCCTCACTCCTTTCTTCTTCCTCCTATCCTCACAACTAGACTGTGGTCTCTTTCAAAGTGGAGCTGCAGCCTATTCACCCTCCCACCCCCTCTGCACCTTGGCCAGCAGCGTGCACATCTGTGTCCCCTGCCACACAGTGAAGAGAGGCCATGTGGCAGATTTGGGCAAGGTGGTGGGGTTTGGAGTTGGACCAGGCAGGGAATCCCAGCCCTGCTGTTGACCAGCTCTGTAAGTGTAGGTAAGTTGCATAGCCTCCCTGACCCTCAGTTTCCTCATTTGAAAATACATATAAGAATGGGCAAACTGGCACGGTGAATGGGATAATTATGAATGACACATGGAGCTTATGCAGGAAATGCCAGTTCTCTTTTTCTCTTTGTATTTTCCTCCACCTGACTGATGCACAGTAGGCATTTAGCAGGGGTTAAATAGGCCAGTATAAATGAGCCTCTGTCATCATCCCTTCTCTGGGGTGCTTCTGTCCTGAGACAGATTTGGGCTGTTCTTGGTAATCGTGAGTGCATTTCAGGCATCTAACGATGATCTCTCTGTCCTTTACCTCCCATATCCCCAAAAAGCACTCCTCCGTCGCCTTGGCCCCTGCCCGTATTTCCAGAGTGTCAGTCCTGAGTCTCATTGCTTAGGTCCTGCCTCTTACTGCCCTGCATATGTCCATCTCCACTAATAGAGGGATGAAGCCGACCCGGCCTCATTCCACAGCTGACATACCTCCGGTGTGTCCGTCCTGTGCCAGACCTGTAGGGAGAAGGATGAGTTGAGGCCCAGCCCTGCTCTGCAAGAGGTCATAGTTGAACTGCGAGGATAAGAAAAGCACACAGTAGAAGGAAGAAGAAAATAAGTTAGAAGAGAGAGGTAAATACCAAATTGTGTGAGTTCAGAGGTGGGAGAGGTCAGGCCTGAGCAGATCCAGAGAGTCTTCTTGGAGAAGGTGACTTCTGACATGGGCCTCAAAGGTAAAGTAGGAGTTGAGGTTTCTCTGTCCTTGCTTTTCCCTTAACCTGGCATAGGGGACAACCCACCTCACTATCCTTTAGGGCCTTTAGACCCTAAAGGGGGCAGGATCTCTTCAGTATGTGAAAGCCCTTTGGTCTGAAGCAAAGTGGCCATTCTGGATACCAGCACAAAGCTCGGAAACCTTTCCAGAGCATGTCGATCCCTCTAGCCCCTTCCTTAAAGGGTGAGACTGAGCTGCTGTTGGTCCCTGATGGCAGACCTTCCGAGCAGGAGTGGGGGGGCTTTTCGGGGCAGGAGGGTGTGGGCCGGCTCACAGGACTCTCCTGGTCAGCGGCAGATGCTGCCAGGGAAGAGGGGGTGACGCACACCGGCCACTTGGCAGCCCAGACAGACTGTGCTCTGCAGCACTGAACGTTAGCGAGCACGGCAAAGTGAGGGAGTGGGAAGCCACTGAACGAGGAGACAGAGAGGGGCGTTCCACTTGGAGTGGCGTTCCGCAGGGAGAAGGGAATTCAGTTAGTTGCAAGATTGCATCATGTAACTTGTCATCAATCTGGATAAAGTCTAACCTCCTTCACAGGTGTCTTAGCTCAGGCTGCCATAACACAGTACCACAGCCCGGGGGGCTTAAACACTTGTTTTCTCATAGTTCTGAAGGCTGGAAGTCCAAGATCAAGGTGCTGACAGGCTTGGAGTCCGGTGACACCTTTCTTCCCTGGCTTGGTGGCGGCCACCTCCTCTCTGTGTTCTCCCGTGGCCTTTCCTCTGTGCACATGTAGAGAGAGCCCTGGTGTCTCTCCCTTTTCTTGTTAAGGACACCCGGCCTGTTGGACCAGGGCCCACCCTAATAACCTCATCAATCTTAATTACTACCTTAAAGGTCCCATCTCCAAATACAGTCACATTGGGGGTTAGGGCTTCAACATATGAATTTTCCACTCATGATTCAGTCTTTAGCAAGAGGGCACACAGAACCTGTGGCTTCTCTGGCCTTTGCTGGCTACTTGGTGCCTCTGTCTCTCCCCAGGTAATAGCATGCTCCCCGCCCGACTACATCCCTCACCATTCTATGAACACACCATGCTCTTTCCAGGCCCCTAGAACCTTACACATGCTTTCCCTCTTCCTGAAATTCCTCCTCCCCAGGCTGACTCCTTTCCCTGGGGACCAGTGCAGGCCCCACCACCTCCTCAGGGAAGCCTTCTGACCCGCCTGGATGGCCAGAGGGCATCTAGGTTCTTCCTTAACCTCTACCATCACTGCACTCTGATGGCTAGTGTTCTCATAGGCTGTGTCCATAGTGTACCCAGGGTCTGGCAGAGACTCAGTAAATACCTGTTGAATCCACTCTTAAGGATCTTTCATGTCCAGAAGTGCCTGTTGATACTGACATTTCCCTCCCAGGCCGATGTTCTGCTGCCCTCCCTTACAGAGACTTGAGTCGTGGGGCCTCGTGAGCCCAGTGGCAGTAGCCCATTCTCACCAGCAGGGCAGGGTGTGATGGCGTCCCCCTCCCCCAGAGTGAATCCAGGCAGTACACTCTTCCTGCTTATATGCAAACAGAATCATCTGGGCTGCATTAGCAGGCTCCACTGTAAACAGCCCTTAACCAAACTGAGGGCTGGGAAAAGTAGGAGGTAAATGGAGGGAATCTTCCCCACCCGGTGCCGAAAGACAAAGCAGGAAAGGGCTGGATGGAATCCGAGTGGAAACAGCCCTCTAGGGAAGCCTGCTCTTTCTGGGCCCCGGGGTGTGTGAGGGGTGGGTTCCAGACAGCCAGGCCCAGCTCCATCACCAGCAGGAGAGTGAGCAGCTAGGTCTTCGTGTGAGGACCTACCAGACCCCTTTGGCCCTCTGGCTTTTCTGATGGGGTGCCAGGCACCGTGGGGAGGCCATCTGGGCAGTCACCCTGAAACTGAGCAAGCTGCCCCATCGGGCCACTGTGACCCCGCGTGAGGACAACAGTAACTGTTTTGTGCACATGTGTTTGTGTGTCTGTGGCCCAAGCAGCTGGCCCCCCACGAGGCCCAGGAGCAGCAGGAGCTGAAGGCTTGTCTGCGCTGGTGTCGCCTCCAGGACGAGGTGCGGAACTCCCCGGAGGAGATGCAGGTGTTGAGGTAAAGCGCCCTGAGATCTCTTTCCCTCTTCACCCTCTGCCTCCCCCTCCTTTCCTTCAAGACGCCTCCTGGCCGACTATTAAATCGGCTGTGTTTCCTTTTTAAATCAAACTGGGTTAGGTCACTCATCCTCCCAGGGATGTGATTGTTATGTTTGAAGTCTTTCAGGGCGTGGGCTTAGATTTGCCTTCTGACGTTTTCCTGGTGTCTCTGTTCAGGAAAAAACGAACACAAGGCCATTTCCAGGACCAAATTCTTTGAAGTTCTAATAGTCACTTTGTGTGGTGGCTGAGAACTTGGACAAGGTGGGGGTTTGGTAGCTTGATAGACAGTAACCCTTTAAAGCCAAAATTAAAAAAACAACAAACCTTCAGGAAAATATTGCTTCCTAAGTGTTTAGTAAGAACAGATGTTGGTGTCAGCGGGGCCTTTTGTTTGGGGTCCTCCCAGCAGGAGGCCACGCCAGTGCCTGGGGGAGATTCTACTCCGAGCTCCTGCAGGGTGGTGTCCACGTGTGTCTTGCAGCGCTTACTTGTAGATTTACTTCTTGCCGTTTTTCCGTTTTTGCCCCTCTCTGCTTTGCTTGTTTTCTTCATTTCTCTAAATAGTTGTTTATCGGCAAGCCCGAGCCTAGGCCCCAGGAATACTGCGATCGCTACAGTGAAAGCCACAGAAGCTTTCATGCCGCGCCCTCTCCGCTACAGCCAAGGGCGTGGGGTCCGCCGTCAGGCAGGCGGGAGGACGGCCATCCAGCAGTGGCCCCCCAGTTTGACGACAGGGCCAGTCAACCTTTGGGCAGAAGCCAGTCCGACCCGGTTTGGTTATTTGTTTTTAAATAACCCACCCCCCAGGGAGGCTGGTTGGTGCTTTTGTGCAGCATGGCCGCCCGGGGTGTGGCACTCTTCCCACGAAGAAGTTCCTCGCTTTTGCATACAAAACCTCTCCGTCCGCTAACTCATGGGTTGTGTAGGAGAGCCAGAGCCAGGAGCCCCGCATTCCCCACCCAGCCCCGCTCTCTGCACCCCTCTGCCCTCAGCCAGTGGGATGGCTGTACCCACGACGGAGTGGACAGGGTCCCCGCTCTCGCGGAGCTTCCACGTAGCGGGACCCTGTTGCCTTCACAGAGTTCCAGATGGTGAGCAGTGGCGCGAACGGAAGGTGTCTCTGAGGACTACAAAGGCCCTGAAGCAGGAAAGGGCTTGGCAGGCTGGTACTTGAGGAACAGAAGGGAGGGCGGTGTGGCCAGCTGGGCAGAGGGAGGCAGGCAGGAGTCTGGCCAGTGAGCCTTAGGCCGAAGTGCAACTGAAGGCGCCCCAGGGCTTGTAGCAGGGAAGGCTCCTGATCTGTCTTGTGTTTTCAGGGCTGCTCGGGCCTCTGGGGGATGGACTGCAGGCTGCTGAGGGATGGGAAGGGGAGGGTTAGAACCTTGCAGTCGTCCATATGCAAGAGGTCCTGGTGGCGGCTGTGGCAGACCCATCTGAGACATGTCCTGGTGGTGGGGCTGGTGGATCTTTGGTCATCGAGTGTGGAGAAGAGGGAGATGTGAGTGTCCAGAATAATTCCAGGCTTTTGACTTGAGCCGCTGGGTAGATGGTGAGGCCATTTGGTGAGACAGCCAAGACATTGGAAGGAAAAGTAAAAAATCCCAGTCTTGTATATGTTAAGTTTGGGATGCCAAACAGATACTTGATATCGAGAACTTAGTGGGGTCTACAAGTCAGCAGGTCACTGGAAAGATTGGAACATTCAGTCTATAAATACTTACAAGTCTGAGCACACTGAAATCACCAGGGAGAGAGGAAAGTGAGGGAAGAGATTGGAGGAAGGTGGGGGGCCAGCGGAGGAGCTTGGGAAGTCAGTGTGGCGAGGGTGTGGGGCGTCATAATGAACATTAGTTGATGAAATGTGCTCCCAGTTCATAAGCAGGCCAGCCTCACACAGGGAAGTCAGTACGCATGTGAGGAGAGCCTTCCCTCTGGACTCGGTGGAGCTGTGATCAACCCAGCCTCTGATGACCAAGAGCTTTTCCTGTGTGTGTAGAGCTGGGAGAAGAAATACACTATTTTTAGACCCTTGTGCTGGAAATTTGTTTTTCTTTTTCTTAGTATTCAGAAATTGTGTTTGCCTAAATTTAGGCTAACCATGAAATGACTGCATTCGAAAGATTTGTTGCACATCAGTGTGGAATCTGTTATCAGATGCGCTTACAATGAAGAGGAAATGTTTCTGAACCTGCCCCGAATTATATAGTCAAGGTTTAGTTTACTCCCATCCTTTAGAATTCTCCCTCAGTTGGGCACAGAGAGCCTAGAAATTGCTGAAAGTGAAAGAAAAAAAAAATCAGAGTTATAAAAATTTATTCTCGGATTTAAATAAGACTTTGGGAAAGAAGTCGCTTAAAACAAGACAGTAATCAAAGATGCTCTTTTTTTGCCCCTCCCTTTCAAGATAGCCCATGGCCTTGAAATGATGGACCAAGAACAATTTAGAAGTTTTGGTTTGTGTCTTGATGTGTTCCACGTTCCTTGGTGGTGACAGATGAAATGGAAACTTCTCTCGCTCATCTTTGCAGCCGCTTTCACCGTGGTTGACACACTCCCTCCTTCTAAAAACACTTTCTTCTCTTGGCTTCTGTGTCACACTCTCCTGGATTTCCTGGTGCTCTGCTGCCAGTCCCCACCCCTCCTGCTGGCTATTCAGCATCTTCACTTAGATGACTCATAGCTCAGAAAGAGGGATTAAGGGGTCCAGCAGCATACAGCTGATACAGAGCAGAACAGAGATTGGAATCCAGGGATGGAAACGACCTTCTTTTCCCTATACACTTTCTCTCTGCCTTCAAGGAACTCCATATGGCATTTAGTTGCATTAAAACCAAACCAGACTAAACCAAACGAAAAAACCACTGCAGGTATCTTGAACTGTGGAAGAATATGACGGTCAGGGTTAAAAAAAAAAGTATCCTTGGACCAAGTATCTTTGTCTTCTTACACATGGGTGAATGTGTCTGATTATTTCGGTGGCTATCGGGGAAAAAAGAAAACTCAACATTGTGTTGATTATAGGTATTGGAGTATTAACAAAGTGAGAAGAGAAAAACTAAAATTGTGTTTGGCTCTGGCTTGCTAATTTTAGTCATTTACAAGAACTGTTTTTCAGTCGTGTCTTCCATACATTCAGTGTTGAACATGGCTCTCATCAGATGTGTCCTGGATTGACTTGGTTGTGAGATTCATTTGGTTACAACGGTTCCTGTGTTTTCCTTCTCAGTCTTCCTTGGCTAGGAAGCTTGTAATGCGGCTGCAGGCTCTTGAGGCATGGCAATTTGCTCAGAAGGTTAGGGGTCACATTACTGACTCCACGCCTTTTCTCATGTTAATTATTAAAGATGCTTTTCCCATAGACCAGACCCCAGTGGCTCTCCTCAGACTCTCCCTCACCTGTCCACCGACTCTGGGCACAACTGTGCACCAGACGAAGCTGATCTTCCTGCTGTCCTACTCTGCCTCGCTGCCACCACTCCGCTCTCCTGTTGTTTCCACTCCCACCCCACCCTTGACCTTGCAGCAGTCCTGACTCTTGCCAAGGAAGATTCGAAGGGCCTTCTGCAAGGCTCCGGTGCCTCTGGTCCCCGGGGCACTGCTGGATTCCTGCGTTCTCTTTCTAAAGTGCTTTACTCAGTGTTAGTTAGCTTTCCTCTGACAGGCCTACGGGATGGAAGAGCTACCATGGCGGGGTCAGAAGAAATCTCTGTTGGTTTTTATTGTTTGTGATTTATTATCACTTCCCCTCTCTTCTGGATTCATTGTTAAAGTCAAGCTCGTGCTGAGAAAAACGTGAAAATATATCATGTTGAGGAGGCGCTGACAGGCGCAGAGTCTGATGTGGCTCTTTCTCCTAGCTGCTGCCTCCACAGACGGTAGAATTCCAGAGAAACGCAGATATCTTCTCCTACCTTCCTCATAAATGCCTCATTCCCTGGTCACAAAGACAGCCCATACTAATAGGGAGAAGTCCCAAGTATGCAACTCTCCATAGCCACAAGGAGATGTGCATGCCACGGGCTCAATGAGTCAGCACGATGTCTAACACTGTGTGTTCCACTTAAAACAATAAGCCTTTTAGGGGTGGCTCAGATGGTTAGGTGTCTGCCTTCAGCTCAGGTCATGATCCCAGGGTCTGGGGATCGAGCCCCAAGTCAGGCTCCCTGCTCGGTGGGGAACCTGCTTCTCCCTCTCCCTGCCCCCCCATACTCCTTCCACCCCCCTGCTCTCTCAAATAAATAAATAAAATCTTTAAAAAATTGAACTTTTGAAATGAGTCTACGTGTGCACCTCTAGTATGCATAAAGCTTTCACCTCTGAAGTTTTTCTCAAAATTTTTATTTCTGATCCTTGAAGAACACAGCGGTCTTTTCCCACCCACATGTGGGAACTCATCCACTCGCAGCCACCCAAACCTGCCTCATGGAAAAGTGCCCCTCCTTTGAGAGTCCCTTGTCTCTGCCACACACCCACCTCCACCCAGAGGCTCAGCCTCCGCTGCTCCTCCATGCTGGGGCCTGAGACTCCCAGCGTGCCCGCTTCGGGCTCCAGCGGCCCCACAGGCTGGGAACAAATCCTTTCCCTCTCCCCTAGGCAGCTCCCTTCCCGTGGCCTTCAGTATCTAGTCCAGACCTTCCCCCCTTCCCCACTCTCCCTTCCTTCTCTTGCCTCCTGTCCCCCAGGGAAAACCGACACCATCAGCCATGTTCTTCCTTCACTTCTATCAACGCATCAACATCCACATCTCTCTGATCTCTCAGAGCCCCGAGAGCCAACCTGTCAGTCTCAGTACAACTAAAGACACATTTCTAGTTCCAGAGGTGGCAGTGAAAATGCGTGTGCATTGACGTAAATCTAGAACTTACGTATATCTAAGTGAGCTTTTCTTCCCATGAGGAAGAAGGGAAGGGAGGATCCATTTATGAAGGGAGAATGAAGTTCCCATCACTTGGGACT